TCCCTTTATAATAAAGCCCCTTTCCCTTTTTCCTTCTGCCTGTTTCTCTGCTGCGACACCGTCAAAACCTATCACTTAGTCCTGCTGGGATTATGGGTGCACGTACTTCCCCCAACCTGGGCAGAGAGCCTGAACATAACATAAGAGACAGACAGACAGACTCCCTGTTGCCATTGTTGTTCCGCTGCCACGAACTGGATGCTCTCTGCCCTGTGCCACTCTGGCTGGAAGCCGGCCAAGTATGGACTGAAACCTCCACTAACTGTGAGCTAAAGAAACCTTTTCTTCCTTCATCATCCGTGTTGGGTATTGGTCCCAGCAATGAGAGAAGAGTAACTGAGACAAAGCGCTAAGAACAAAGAAGCTTTTATTGCGAACACGGACAGACTGATGCCCTCACTTTGGGTCAGAACTCCCAAAATTGTTGGTACCCACCTGAACTTTGCTTTCAGGTTATATACTTTTTAAGGTTTCCGTAGCAACCACATTACCTCCTTTTCAAGAATTTTATAGGAATGTCACACAATTGCCACAAAGTTTACATTTTCCAGACATTGTTGACCATCTCTCTGTCCTGGGGTATTTTAGTGTAGTTTAGTTTAACTTAATTTTAGTTTAGCTTTAACCTAGTCCCCAAGTTGTTTTTAACTATTTGTTCCTATTTTATAACACTGGTTTTCTTTAAGTGGGCTTATGGCCAGCTACATAGGAGGGGGGTGAGGAAGTGAGTTTATCTATAACTTAAGTGAACATAAGTGACTCTCATTTAAAATGGAGTCTCTTTTGCCCCATCACTAACACATTTGAAGTGAATGTCTTTTATTTCTCTGTGCCTCCTTACTCCCACTTGCTCTGTGGGGAACAGGCTATTGCTATACCCAATAGCACTGAAATCTGCTCGGTCTAGAGGATGCTGGCTTGGAAACATCAGCTTAAATTAGTTATGATTCTGGGAAGAACTTCTTTAAAGATGAACCCTACCAAAAAAATCCTATAGCATCAAAGGATCAACATGTCTGTCTCCTGCTTGATGGCCAGCTACACCTTGTGTGTGAGCCACAGCACAGCTTCCGGGTCCTCCACAGTTCCAGTTCTTCCTCCATCTTCCTGCAGTTCATCCCCTAGCTTGCTCCTCCCTCAGCTCCCCCACTTCCCTCCCGCTGCCATCCAGACCCTCCAGTTGCAACACTGACTAGCCCGGGCTCTGTCAGTCAGCCCAGCACTTTGGGAAAGCTGGGCACTGAATATTTTTTTTTCCTATTTCACAAGATCTATTGTGCATTTTGGTCCCTACTTACACTTTCGGTTTCTCACAAAAGAGACATAATGTGATATTTATACATTTGAGTTTTTTGTTTTTTTGTTTTCTGAGACAGGGTCTAGCTCTGTAGTTCAGGCTGGTTTTGAACTTACAGTGATCCTTTTGTCTCAGCCTCCCAAGTGCTGGGATTACAGGTGTGCACCACCACATCCAGCTGTTATGCTGTTTTTGATCACTAGTATTTTTTATTTCCTAGAACTTCAACCTACATCTGCTTGTTCAAAATTCCTGACTGGATAATTCTAATATTTCTGACATATATGAATCTAGCTCTGATCCTAGTTCTGTCTATCCAAAATTGTGTTTTTTCCTTGTGGTATATCATTGTTACAGTTTGTGCCTAGTTGTTCCCTCAAAGTCCCATGCAGTCAGGGGGCAGGGACTTCTAGAGTTTGTGATTAATTCATGATCCACTAGGATTATGGGTGTGAGTGCTGCTGGGATTATGGGTGTGAGTGCTACATCCAGCCTGGGCAGATAGCTTGAATGGAACTTAGGGGAGACAGCCTTGCTCTCTGTTGCTATTGTTGCTGCTACTCCCTTTGATCTCTGCTCTTTGCTGCCACCATGAAAGGTTGCTCTCTGCCATGCGCCACTCTGCCTTGGAGCCAGCTGAGTATGGACAGAAACCTGCCATATCTGTGAGCCAAATAAACCTCCCTTCCTGCATTTTGGGTATCGGGTATTTGTCCCAGCAATGAGGTAAGAGTAACTGAGACAAATATGTACATTTTTGTGGAGAGCTACACTTGATGTGCTGGGTGAAAAGAACTGCTGTAAATAGATCTTTAATAACGGGGAGGTATGGTAAAGGGGAAGGAAAATCGGTTCCTACTGAAGACTTGGCCTCAGCCCTTCGTGGGTCCAACCCTCTAGCAGTCTGTGAGCCTCACTGATCTGAGCATCTATATCACAACAGAAATACTCCCCTCTCACCAAAACAAAAACTTTAGTGTAGCCCTGGGAATGGAATTCTTGGATAATACTAGAACTAAACAAGAAAGATGGGAGAGAAAGAGGGAAGCAGGAAGGGAGAGAGGCAGATAAACATAACTTCTGTTTCTCAGCAGAGTCCTCTCAAATCCTGTCATACGCAAAGCACTTTCTTTCCTAATTTCACACACCCACACAGTTTGTCACAGCTATAGAGAAACACTCACAAGGTCACAAGCATAGATTTGCTCATACAACGGGACATTTCACACAAGCCCTGGCCATGTCAGCTGGGGTGGGAGGGAGCAGGGCAGTGAGTGGATGGGAAAAATAAAGATTAGAGAAAAAGCTCGGAGGCCCCTCTCCATACTGGAAACTTGTGCAAACTCACTACATTCCATCTGTCATGTGTTATCACGCAAAGCCAACATCACAGCTCACACAGCCCATCTGACACATCCTTGGTCAGTCATATGCCTAAGATTCACTCACATCCCTACACTGAATATGCCACTCACCTTCAGGGAAACACTTTAGTGCTGGACCATCTCTGTTTCATGAAGTCAGGGAGACACAGTGAGCCTATTGCACCCACCCCTCTCTCAAACTGGCCATACTCCATCCCACCATCACCTTCTCAAACCACTCCTGTTCACTTCCAGGGCTCCCCAGTTCCCACCCCCAATGCTGGCTTTGTGGTATGTGCCTCTTCACTGCTCTTGATCTATGTTGGGTGGGTGGAGGGGAGAAGGACAGTGAGAGGATGAGAAAAATAAAGATTAGAGATAAAAGCTGAGATCAGGTGGCACTCCCTCTCCGGATTGGAGGAAAGGAAACTGCTCAACCATGGCAGCGGCATTTATACATTTGACAAAGGTAGTGTCACATGACACAGGCTTGCCTATCAACTAATGGCTGGGATTGCCTGGGCCTTGCAGCTTGATTGTCACAGGTGGTCTTTGTTCTGGGACTGGCCTTGGCTCGCCCCTCACACTTGTAGTCACTTTCCAGCTTCAAGGACTCCCTATACATCTTGATTCTAACTGTGTATCATTATGCACACATTCAGAGTATGGAAAAATTTGAAAAATCCTTAAAAGTGTTAACCTTGGTCACTTGTATAGAGAGGGAATGCATAGGGGGACACTTTCATTTCTAAGATAATTTAGTATTTGTGGTTTAAATATTTAAAATTGCAACAATGTTACAAAACTATATTTTTATTCTTCATTTTAAAAATTTTTTTCCTGCTTTATACTCTCTTGGACATTCTTTCTTAGAATATGAAGCCACTTGGGCTGGGGAGACAGCTCAGTGGAATATGTGCTTGCTTGGGAAGTGAAAGGTCCTGAGTTCGATCCCTGGTACCGTTAAAAAAAAAAAAAAAAAGAAAGAAAAAGAAAAATGAAGCCACTTTAACTGAAAAGACCTCACTCATTACAGTTTTATACCTCACTGAAAAATATTAGAAAAAGGAACTATTTGATTAAACAGTAAAATAAAAATTGTCATATCAGAAAATATGAGACACATTTGATCAATTTAAAATGACAACATAGTATTTTTCTAAGCAGTCTTCTTTCATTTTGTAGTTAGAATGACATATTTATTATATAAAATAAGAAAATAAAGTGAATACATGAACAGGAAAGATACACAGTATTCCATCACTGGAACCAGCCAGCAACCAACACTGTCAACATTTTATATATCAGGCTTTCTCCCACCACTGAAACACTTTGTATTCTAATACTTTTAAAAAGCAGCATTATTGGATGTAAAGCTTTACCAGTTACATCTTAATTATTAAGATGTAATAATTATATATTAGATAATATCTAATACTATCTTTATGTTGAACAGGTAGCTTATTGGTATTTTTCTTCATATCCAATCCCAGAGGCTGGGAAGATGAAGCCTAAATGGAATAAAGAAGTGAAAACGCTGGGTGTGGCACTGCATACCTGCAGGTCTCCACACTCTCTCTCTTTTAATGAATGTATTTAGTACAGGGTCTACAGGGCCTCGCTATACAGATCAGTCTCCTAGTGATTCTCCTGTTTCCAGTCTCCCAAGCGCTGGGATTACAGGCCTGTGCCACCACGCCCAGTCTCAATCGCCGACCTGGGGGAAGGGGCGGCACGGCAAGCTGGGGTTAGAACCCCGGTCCCTGCATCTGCCTAAGCAGGTGCTTCAATCCTCTGAGCTATCTGGACGGCCCCACATTCTCTCTCTCTCTGTGTCTCTCTCTGTCTCTGTCTCTCTGTCTGTCTCTGTCTGTCTGTCTGTCTCTCTCTCTCTCTCTTTCTCTCTCTCTCTCTCTCACTGGTGATTGAACTCCGGACCTTTTACGCTTATTCTACTCAGCTATCTCCCCAGCCATTCTCTTTCACTACCACTTATTGTTGTTTTCTATCAGGGGCATATAGTCTCTACCACTGATGGTCTCACACCTAAAGAAGCAACGATTCAGGATGGAAAGACTCAGAAATCATCCTATCGCCATAACTGCACACAGAGAATCAGGTTACCAAACCAAAGGGAAGTCACATCCATCTGTTCAGTTGCCAGACAGTGCTCCCGGCGCTCCACCAGGTACTCTAAGTCTCCATCAGGATCTTTCCTACTGACTCGCTCAGGCAGTCCGAGTTCCAACTTCCCAGGATGCTCCAGATGTAACTACATTTCCCAGAAGCCTCTGGATATGAACTACGTTTCCCAGAAGTCTCTGGAGCACAGCGCTTTTCGGCAAGGGCCCAGCTTGCAGGCGGAGAGCTTTTTCTAGGATCCGGTTCCCAGCTCTGGACTGTTTCACTGTCCTCAAATTCTTGGATTTGAGCGGTGAGTTGGTCGCGTCGGAGGAATTCATCAACGCCAGGTGAGGACAGAAGGGTTCAGAGGTCCCTAACCGAGCCAGATTAGAGCAGTCAGTGAGGATGGTGGGGGCTGTGGGAGGCGCTGATGGTAAAAAAGGCTGGCATTGTGTATGCTGTGTCCAGAGTATCAAGCGTCCCCGTGCGCGAACAGCTGAGCGGCACGGTGTGTGACGGCGTGACAAGGCTGAGGGGTGTCTTCGTGATGGTGGGTGCGGCTGGGAATGTGTGACCGGGAAGGGGGCGTGGTCTTATTCGTAGATGTGGTTTACTTTAGCTGTGTGCTTAGCCGTGTGCTTAAGGCTACCTCGAGGCTGTCTTGGGCCTGCCACGGGTATATGACCCCATGAAAGAATTGTCTGTTAAGCTCTAGGACAGTAGTGGTGCGCTCAGGCAGGCCTGCAGCAGCAGGCTATTTGTATTGTTGAAAATTTAAAGGTTTGGCACACTACCTTAGGATGTACGTTTCAAGCCAGGATGAGAACTTTAGATCTGAAGGTGCCGTCATGACGAGCCCCTAGGAAGACAGGAGGAGGAAGATCGAGAGATAGGATTTCTAGAAAAGGTGACTCTAGGAGCCCCTTAAGAGCCAGATGTTTCAGGGTCGCTGCAACCAGATTGCTGTTCCCGAGAATTGCTGTCCACTCAGAGACAGACTCCAGCTGCCATTTTAATTGTGTGGATGAAGGTAGATGTGGCCTTAGGTGTTTCTGCTTTTGCTTTGTTTTATTTCTTTTACAACTAAGTCTGTTTGTACTTAGAGAAATGCTGGCATCTCCTGATTTCCCCTAGGGCTGCCAGGTTTCCCCCAGGAGGAAAAAATTTATTCCTATTTGGAAATCAAGGATCTGCTGAAATTACATTTCTCTTTTATTGATAGTTACTTTTTCTTTAGGCCATGAGAGCCTCTACTTTCCTCGGGTTGAGATATCTTGGCTCTTCAGTTTGTTATGGGTTTTATTTCAGGTGAATGACCCACCGTACAGGGCATCTTTCTCCTCCATGGAGATCTATTTTTCTTCTCCCTATTACTATTACCAGTTCATATGACAAATTGTTCACATCCTCTACCACATTATGTTATAAAAATACGCCTTCTGGAGATTAACGTTGGAACTTTTTTATTATTTTTAATGTATCTGTTTGTTGCAGGGTCTCACTACGCAGCTCAGACTTGTGGTGATCCTCCTCCTTTCAGCCTCCCCAGCACTGGGATTACAGGCATGTGTGCCACTACAGCCAGACTCTGTGTTTGGCTCAGCGCACCCTGGGGGAAGGGCTGGCGCGGCATGCAGTACCGGGATTGAACTACAGTCCTTGCTCTTGCCTAAGCTTGCCTAAGCAAGCGCGTTAGTCCGCTGAGCTATCTTGCTGGCCCTAGAGCTTTATTTTAGACCATGATCACTTGAGATGAATATTTAAGTGGTGTTGTGTGCAACTTTAAAAGCAAATCTTTCCCCCAGTCATGACTTTTAAGCAAGGCAAAGTAGAAGTTTTAAAGGAAGGCAAGGCTTCAGTCACTGAATGATAGTATTGTCTGCGTTGTGAGGCTTTAGGGGCAGAAATGTGAGGAGCTTCTCTGTGCAGAGATTGTTGGTTTCCCCACTAAGGGCAGGAGCTTTGAGATAACCTGTGGGTAGAAACCTGTAACATTGCCAAGCATGAGTTGTTTCAGATCTGGCTTTGTGTGGCTTGTGAGAGGCAGCGCTGTGTTGTGGTCTGAGGAAGGGTCTGACTCCAGTATATCTGTTCTTAAATCCTGGCCCTGCCTTTTGTGAGCTGTGTGAGTTTCTCAGCAGGGGACTTCTACCAACAAAAGCTTCCCGTGGACTAAGGACGGCCAGGAATTAGTGCGCTCATTCAAAGGACATGGCTGTTTCTGAAGGAGTGCATGTTCCGCCTGTTAACACCAGATATCCTCATCAACTTTTGCTTTTCGCTATTGTTTTTTTTTTGAGTTAAAGTCTTAGTATCTAGCCCAAGCTGGACCTGAACTCACTATATAGCCCAGACCAGCCTCAAACTTGCAGCAGTCTTCCTGCCTCAGCCTCTCTAATGCTGGGATTACAGATGTGAGCCACCATGCTTGACATTCAGCAGTTTTTATAGATTAGGATCAACTATGAAGGTGAACATAATGGGTACTTGCAAGTTTAACGTGGTACGCCTGAGACTGTCCCATTAGGTGGCTTGGACCACCCCAGTGCAACTGTCCCATACAACCTGATAAGACAGTCACATGTGTACCTGTGTACACTGCCAACAGTGAGACATTACTTACAGCCCCATTGTAAATGTGTTTTTAAAAAAGTGATCAGATGCTCAACTGGTCCAGGTCAGGAAATCTTAACCTGAGCTCAATCTTATTCCATTGATGAGCTTCTGGGTGGCCATAAACCCTCAAAAACTGAAACTGTTTTGAGGAAAGAAAGATTTATAAATGTGCTTCTTTTATTCTAGCACCTTGGGAGGCTGAAAACAGGAGAATCACTACGAGTCTGATCTACATAGTAAGACTCGGTAAACCCTGTCTTAAATACAGGAAAATAAAATAAAATAAAAGTGCTTGTTTTGAGTGGGAAAAATGTCTATAACTTATGATTGTCAAATGCACTTGAACCAGATCTAGCTATGTGATGGCCAGGATTGGATATACTGTCCATGGGATGCCAAATTATAGGAATTACAAAGCCTTTATTAGCTGGCAACCAGTGTGTTTCCCCTTTCCAACTTGGAAAGCACAAAGGCCGGGTTCTTCGTTCCCCACCTGCTTTTGTAGTTTCTTTGTTGCTGTATGTGGTGCCCCCTATATCCTACGGGTGCGGGGTCATGGCAGAAATGTGATATCCCTGTATCCTATAGGTGCAAAGTCTCAGGCAGGGAGATTTATGGCTAAGCATGGGCAAATAGTCTGGATCTTACTGCCCTAAATGGGTCCTGCCCCATCTCCTATATGTTTGTGAAGTTCTCACAGGGCAGGGGTAGGCGTGAGGAATGGGGTAATTTAGGCAAGGCTTTTTCCATGTAAATACTTCAGGCAGGGGTCAAACTAAGTTGAATTCTGCCTCAGTCTCTTCTACTTCTAAAAGTGAACAGGGTATTATGCTGGACCCCATCCCTTACGGCTGCACTGGTCTAGCACAAGACTGTAATATAAAAATATCCAGAAATATGGAAACATTAAGTAAATTTCAGTGTATCTTATGATGGGATAATCTATACCTAGGGGAATTATTTTTATAAATAATAAAATGAAGGAAAATTGAAATGATGTCATATTAAGTAATCATTATAGTTAAGGAGTTTTTTTGTTTTTTCAGTACCAGGGATCGAACATTGGATCTTGTGCTTGCCAGGCAGGCACTTAAGTCACTGAGTTATATCCCCAGCCCCTAGTTAAGGACTTTTAAGTGGGCAAGAATATGTTATATATGTTATGCAGGGTTTTCAAACATTTTTTAAAAATTTATTTATTGTGTGTGTGTGTGTGGCCAGCTCAGCCCACCAGGGGGCGGGGCTGGCTGGCATGTGGTGCTGGGGGATTGAACCGTGGTCCCTGTACTTTGCTA